TGCTTCTCCTGCATGAACACCTCGATCATGGTCGACGTCGACGTGAAGGCCTGACGCTTGGTGAAGGGACTATGCACGGAAGAGTCTGTTGGGTTCTTGAGATCTAGTGAAGGAGGCAGAGGTGAGTCAGCAGGAGTTGTTTCCTGAAAACTACATCCAGTTCCAATGCTTCCCAGCATACAGCCAAATAAAACCATTCCACACTACAGCCCCTCCTGGACCTGTTAAAATCAGGGAGCAGAGGACCCCAGCACCTCCACCCCCGCCGTGCTCTCACCACCACCAGTGCCAGGCCTCTCGAGCCCTTCTCCCCCCAGATCCTCCCCTCCTGGGAGCCCTGCTGCTCCTCACCGTACTGCACGAGAGACGAGGGCTGCGTGGTGGATCCCATGTCCCAGGAGGCAGCAGGGGTGCTCCCGGCGGGCTGGGTGTGCTGAGCCGCCAGCTGAGCCAGAGCCTGGGCGGTCTTGAACTGCTCCAGGAACTGGGAGCCTGTGGTACTGCTGCTTTTGGCCTCCCCGACGTCTCCGAACCCTTTCCCCAGCATGCTCACCTGCAGTCCCAGTGAGGAAAGGGCAAAGTCAACGTCCCCCTTGGCTCGGGAGGCAGCTCAGGGGCAGAAACGTCCCTTAACAGAAGCCTGAATGCGGCGTCCTGCTGCTCGCTGGGTGCCAGAGCCCAGCCCTCCTGAGCACAGATGTGCAGACACAGCTGGCAGGAGAGCTCATGCTCCTCTCAGCCCTCAGCATGAGGCAGTGCAAGGGCTCTGCCCTGCTGCCAGCCCACAGCAGTTACAGTGTCATGGGGCCTTGCACAGAAAGTCACAGGCAGGATCTTCAAAAACGTGCTGAATTATTCATCTGCCTTTGGTACTAAGAACCACAAGCACCAGACCCTGGCGCTCTAGAAAATCCTTCCTGAGCAAGCTCACCACTAAGTGCACCCTTTTAATGCCTTCTGCTGAAGTTTCACCCAGAAGCACCTGCCCAGGTCTGTCACATCCCCGACTGCGACTCAGGCCTGTGCTGCAAGTCTGACACAGGCAACAGGGGAGGAATCACCCCAATTATTTGTGATGAAGCAATGAACTTCATGCCTCTATGATCAACGCCCTGCACTCAGCACTGGGGGGGCTGCCCCCTGAATCCTGGGGGCAGGTTTGGGCCCCTCCCTCCCAGAAGGACCTTGAGGGGCTGCAGCATGGCCAGAGAAGGGCAACAAAGCTGCTGGGGAAGGGTCTAGAGCCCAAGTGTGGGGAGGAGCAGCTGAGGGAGCTGGGGGTGCTGAGCCTGGAGCAAAGGGGGCTCAGGGGAGACCTTCTGGCTCTGACACCTCCTGACAGGAGCCTGGAGCAGGGGGGGGGTCGCGCTCCGCTCCCAAGGAAAGGCACCAGCCTCAAGTTGCCCCAGGGGAGGTTTCAGTTGCCCCTGAGGAACAATTTCTTGCCCTGGAGGGTTGCCCAGGGCTGTGCCAGGCTGCCCAGGGCAGTGGTGTAGTCCCCACCCCTGGAGGGGTTCCCAAGCCGTGGAGATGTGGGGTGAGGGGCAGGGGTCAGTGGGGACCTGCCCGTGCTGGGGGGTGTTGGACTCCCTGATGTGGAAGGTCTCCTCCAGCCAGAACCATTCCACATAGAGCAGACTGGGGAATGAATCCCAGTGGGGGCCTCTGCCCCATGAGAAGGGAGTGGGTGTCAGAACTGTGTTTCCCATGGTACCCAAATGCAGACAGAGGCTGTTGGGGAAACCAGGACCTGCCCTGGCCATGGGGCAGGGCCCGTGCCCCTTACCATGCTGTGGTGAGAGAAGGAGTTCCCCGAGGCGGGCTGGGATATAGCACTCTGCTTGGAATTGCTGAACACCAGGGGCTGGGCCAGGGAAGGAGCCTGGGAGGACTCCAGGTTTGTGGACTCATTCTCCATCGAAGAGGGCGTCTTCCCCAGCAGGACTGCAAGGTCGATTCTGGGCAGAGGAAGATGTCCCAGCAGGGTCAGCACGAGCTCCATCACACCCTGTCCCACCTCCAGCCTCACCCTTCACAGCTTTTACTTTACCAGCTGGATGAAACTGAAACATGAACTCACGACTGCCAGCAGCAACCCCAAAAGACCAAGCAAGATGCTGCCAGGCCTCCTATTTTAAAGTGGGAGTTCCCTTAATTTAACACAGCAGAACACCCCAAATCTGAAGAACCAGCAGCAGAGCCCAGGACAACACTACTCTGGGGTGAGGACCCAGAAACCCCTAACTTGACTTTTCCACTTAAATCCATCTCATCCCATTCAGAGCTGCTGCATTTTAGCTAGTGGGCAAGGTTTGGTGTGAGATGGCAACTGCTCTGGGATCTGGGTGCCACCCTCCCCACGGGCTGTCACCTCTGTCCAGCTGTGATTGTCACGTTCTCAGCAGGCAGAGGCACTGAAGACACGTTGGAAGCAGTGAAGATCTTTGTCTCAGACAGCTGAAAGATAAAAAGAGGAGAAAGAATCCAGAAGTGAGAACAGCATCTGAGGACTCCAAGTAAAGCACAGAAACATTGGAGACAAATAGCTGCAGGAAGAGTCAGGAAATTCAAGGGTTTAGACTTAAACTTCTCCAACATTTGGTTCCCATCAGAATCAGTTTCTATTTCATTTGTACCTTCTCAGGCAAGAGCAAAAAATAACCTGCCAGTGGAAAAAAATTCAAAACCTTCCACAAATTTCCCCAGGGCTGCTGGGCAGCACTGAGCTGCAAACCCCCTGCCCAGGGAGCTGCAAGTACTGCTAGAGAAGTCAAAGAAAAAAAGCTTCAGACCCACAGCTGAGCTTCCAATGATCCCAACCTCACCTGGACAACCTGACCAGAGACCAACAGATCTGCTTCTGCTACAGAAGGGGAAGTAACATTGCCCCAAAACGATGGGGAGGTCCAAGGACCAGCTGGGAGTTGGCCCAGAATGTATCTGAACATGAACAGCTTTTATTGCAGGCTGAGGAGCTGCCAGCCCCTAGGCTTGCAAGAGTCTAAACACAAACCCAGGAAGGCCTGGGAGCACATCACAGCTGCTGGAGGCAAGAGGGGCTATCAAAGGCTTTCTTCAAGCAGAGACCTGACCGAGCAGCCAGAGAAGCTCCTGGCGTCTCCGAACACAGCAGGAGAGTTTCCTTCAGATGGTGCCTGGAGGGCAAAAGCTTTTCCCTCCTGCCTCTTCTCTAGGCTTGGCAAAAATGAGCATGCGAGACATTAATACTACTAAAAAAGCCCAACTCTGCTCCCATCCTCAGGAGAGAGGTTCTCTCTTGATTCAGAGAGGGACTGAAGCCCTTTTCAGAAGAAACTGATGCAGAGCAGCACCAGGAAGGGGTAAGTGTCCATCCTGCCCCAAAGGAGACACCAGGTAGAGAACAAAGAACAGTGAGACCCACCAGAGAGCAAGGCAGAAGGTAAAGCCAAGAGCTTCTGTTGAGTCCAGACCACAAGGACCAGCAGAGGCACGTGACACAGGCACAGGAGCTTTGAGGCCCCCTCCATCCACACGGTGTGGGTCCCAGGCAAACCAAACCCTCCCCAAGTGCCACTCCACCAGAGAAGCAGAGCAGGGACCCTGCGTGGAGTCAGGCCCCTTCATGGAGGAATTCAACCATGAGATTGCAGGAGATGAGAGGACCAGAGGCCCCGGGAGATCCCTTCCTGTCCTGGGCTCTACTACACGTGTCTTCCAGCAGCAGCAGGGTTTACTCATTCAGCAGAGCTCCTGGGACTGGGAGCCTCGGTGGGTCACACTGAGTCTGGGGGGACAGGCTGCCTGTGCCCGAGCAGGACAGGGCAGAGGGGTCTGGAGGGTACCTACATCTTCATTCCAGTCCTCCGTGCCCCACTCCTCCGTGGCCGCTCTCCACGCACCTGTGGGGAGAACAACAGGCAGAGAAGTCACTCGTGTGTCAGAGCTCTGCTGCGGGAGCCAGGGCAGTGCCAGGGGCTTGGCAGCCAGCAGGGAGATCTCTCTTTGCCAGCCAGACCCTGACCCAGGATTCAGGGGTGCCCCAGCCTTGCTGGCTGAGGGACCAGAGGGCTGGCAGCCAGGGCGACACACCCCGACACCCGAGAGGGAAGCTGAGCTTAGCAAGGACACCCCAGCCCCAGCCCCCCCTGCTGTGTCCCCCAGCTCCCCCCTTTCCCCTCGTGCCCAGGGGCTGCAAGTCTGCACACCAGGAGCAGTTGGTGTTACCCGGCAGCTCGGGCAGAGCAGCTCCTCCGTGGGCTTCCTGCCACCTCTTGTGCAGGACCCACCACCCAATTAAACCTCTGCTGTCTACAGAGCCCCGGGACAACGGAACCACTCACATGATTCCCTTTTTTTTTTTTCCTCTCCCTAAAAATGTTGAAACCTCCCATGTGTTGGGAGCCAGAAGGGAACTTTTAGGGGGCTAAGCAATTCCCACACTTTCTGTGACCTATTTCAGAGAGATGCTCAAAGCGAGTAGCTTAAAATATCAGGGAGAAAAGCGTGAGATTTGAGGCACAATCCAGCACAGCCCAAGGTGTGAGAGCAAAATTCACCAGGGAAGAAGTTTGCCCGGCCACATCTTCAACTTGTTCCGTCCTTCACTCCCATCAGTTTAACCTCAGGATTATTGAGTGGCTTCCAAAGTCATTAGACAACTTTAAATTTGGTGTGGTGAGAAAGCAGGAGCATCTGACACCCCAAAAAACCCAGGAGTGTCAGAACAGGCCCATTCTGTGCAGCTGGTTCTCAGTCCCTGCAGAGGCCAACAGGACCTGGGGCAGGGTTAACCTGGGGACGCTCAGGGGACGGAACAAGTTGGCATCAGCCCCTTCACAAGCTGAAAGCCTTTCAGAGCAAAACCCAGCACGTGGGGAAGGAGCAGGCTGCAGATCCTGCTGCAGGACACCACCAGGCTCAGGGAGGTTTTGTGGGGGAAGATCTTCCCATCCACACTTCAGTTGTGAGGCCAAAACATCCACCCAACGGCTTGGCTGAAGTGGGGGATTTAGCACATGAAATATTATCAGGGAATTGTTCTTTTTTTATGGCTGTTTTGTTTTGCCTGACAAGTTGAGCCAATTCAAGGGGCCTGCCTGGATTTTTTCATTTCATACTCAAGTTGGAGATGCAGCTATTGGAGGACATGGCCTCCAGAGTGCCCTGAGCCCCCAGGCACGCTGCTCTACCCCCTGCTCCCTGGCCAGGAGCACCAGGAGAGCTCACCACCTCCAATGCAAAACACACCTGGGGCTCCACAGCCCCGACCACCATCCCTCTGACTGTGCCCTCACAGCAGCAGTGGGACGGCTCCTTTCCAGACTTTGATGGATCAGAGACACCCCATCAGCTGAACCCTTCCTGGGGGGGGAGGCTGGAGCTGGGGGGCCTGGGGAGCTGCAGCTGGCAGGGGGAGCAGGATGCCCGGAGTGCCCCAGGAGTAGCGGCCCAGGGCTTGGTGCTGCTCACTTGGGGGAAGTGAGAAGAAAAGCAAAGCAGCAGGAAAAGCAGAAGGAAACCCTGCAGATGAAGAGCAGCCACCCACAGGGCCTTGCTGGCAAGCCTGATCCTAGAGTGCCAGGCACTGAGGTTGGTCCTCCCGGCACACAGAGGGACAGGGGGCACCCAAAGGCCCGTGAGGTACAGCTGGTGGGTCCTGCAAACGCTCCAGAACGCTCCTAACCAGCAGGTTTTTAAGGAACTGAATGCCTGGCTCTCCACTGAGCTCTTCAGAGGGGAGATCTGCCACACCAGCAACACCCTGACACTTCTAACAACACCTCAGTGTCCTCCGAGCAGAAATCCCCCTCCTCTGCTTTAAAAAAGCCCTTCAGAGAGCTGCAGAACTCAACTTCCCAACCTCAGTGGGAACCTTCCAACCAACGTAGGTGGAAGAGCTGTTAGTCCCAGAATCATCTGGGTTGGAGGAGACCTTTAAGCTCCTCAAGTCCAATTGTCACCCCAGCTCTGCCAGGTCCCCACTGCCCCGTGTCCCTCACCCCACATCTCCAAGGCTTGGGAACCCCTCCAGGGGTGGGGACTCCACCACTGCCCTGGGCAGCCTGGCACAGCCCTGGGCAACCCTCCAGGGCAAGAAATTGTTCCTCAGGGGCAACTCAAACCTCCCCTGGGGCAACTTGAGGCTGGTTCCTCTTAGCCCATCACCTGGGGACAGAGATCTCACCCCCCCCCAGCTCCAGGCTCCTGTCAGGAGCTGTGCAGAGCCAGAAGGTCTCCCCTGAGCCTCCTTTGCTCCAGGCTCAGCACCCCCAGCTCCCTCAGCTGCTCCTCCCCACACTTGGGCTCTAGACAGGCCCAACATGATTTTGGGCAGGTTATGGGACTGCTGGGATCCAGCAGGCCTAATGCAGACAGACTGGCTCAGCTCTGGGCTGCGTCAGCGCAAAGGTGCGAGGGCAGGGGATAGAGCAGCCAGGCAGAGAGCAGCAGCTTGGCCATCCAGGGAGCAGCTTGGCCATCCAGCAGCCTGGCCCCTCAAGATCACCAGGCAGAGCAGGCAGCTGGCCCAGGGTAGAGCCCCCCAGGGGGTTCAGCCCCTCTCAGCCCCCCCAGCAGCGCCCGGAGCACAAGCAGAGGCAGCAAAGGGGCCGGCCCGGGGCCCGCAGCAGGTCAGGGCTCTGGGGGTGTGGGAGGGGCAGAACTGAGCTGCCCCCTCGGGGGGCACATCAGGGCTGTGGACACGGAGCTGCTCTGGGGACCGAGAAGCAGTGGCTGAAGTTAAAATTTACATAATCCACAAGAATTTGGGTTAACCTCTCCCCGCTCACATTCCAGGTGTCAGTGTTAGTAAAAGCACAGTCAAAACAAACGTCAAGTATCCATTAAAAGGAACAAATTAAGAGAGAGAAGAATGACATATCCACAGATATTTCAGGGTTTTTTTTTAAAAAAGCTATAAAGGAAAAGTATCCGGGGCAGTCAGTGCACCTGGATGTATCGTACCAGGAGCAGTGTCAAATTTTCGGGGATAATTTGACCCCTCACCCCCAATGAAATCAAGTCCTGAAACAAAACAAAAACACACAGAAAAGACAGACAACCAGTGAAATTTTGGCTTGAAGAAGGCGAGCTCGCTGCCCCAGTCACACCCTACCTGTGGATACTGGCAGCCTGAGGAGATGCCAAACTGGAACCCACCAGTGACACGAGCACAGCACAGACACCCCCCTCAGCTGCCAGGTGCTGCCAGAGCAAAGCTGAGCTGTGCCACCAGACAGATCTTCCAGTTCCCCCAGCCACAGCAGGGAGCTCTGTGAGAGGGTCTCCTCCTACAGCAGCTCAAGCAAGATGATCACAGAATCGTGGAAGGGACCTTGAAGATCATCTTGTTTCAACCCCTTGCCATGGGCAGGGACACCTCCCACTAGAGCAGGTTGCTCAGAGTCCCATCTAACCTGGTCTGTGACACATCCAGTGATGGAGCATCCACAGCTTCCCTGGGCAACCTGGGCCAGGGTCTCCCCAGCCTCAGAGTGAAGAACAACTTCCTAATTTCTAGTGTGAATCTCCCCTCTTTCCTTTTGAGCCCATTACTCCTCGTCCTATTGCTACAAGTCCTTGTAAAAAGTCCCTCCCCAGCTTTCTGACAGGCCCCTTTAAGCACTGAAAGGCCCCCAGCAGGTCTCCCCAGCTGGAGCCTTCTCCTCTGGGGCTGCCCCAGCCCAACTCTCTCCTGCTGGGCTCCCAGCAGAGGGGTTCCCCCCTCGGGGCATTGCTGGGGCTCCTCTGGCCCTGCTCCAGCAGGTCCCTGGCTCTGCTGTGCTGAGTTCTCCAGAGCTGCCCCAGCACTGCAGGGGGGGCTCCCCAGAGCAGAGACGGAAAGATCCTGAAAGAGAGACTGCTCCCCACGCTGAAATCAAGAGCAAGACACCTGAACTCTGACTCACAGTCTTTGAGGATGCACCAAATATCAGGAGAACTCTCACACTGGGGGTTATAAAAGACTGTCCCAGGGAGGCAGCGTGGTTCCTACAGACAGAGCCAAGCTCTCCTGAGCCTCAGTGGGGCACGAGGAGCTCACAGCACCACACCCCTCCCGCTCCAACTGCCGCCGCGGTCACCCCGGCAGAGGGAAAGGCACCTCTGGGCACAGGGGCACCGAAACCCACCTCTGAGCCCCCTGCCTGCTCCCCCACCCCCGAGCCCCACGGAGCTGCCCAGGCCTCCTCGGGCCAGGCCGGGTGCCAGGAGGGCCGCGGGGAGCACTCACTGGTGCCGTCGTCGGGCTCGAAGCTGCCGGGGTTGTTCCACGTGCTGCTGTTCCCGTAGCTCTCGTCCCCCCCCGAGGGCTCCGCGTAGTCGGCCGGGTTGAAGGTCCTGGGAGGAAGAGGAGGGTGGGTGTTTTCACTCTCTCCCCCCACCAAGAATTTTAAGAGCAGTTGTGTTTATTTGGACACGGCACGCACTCACTGGTGCCGTCGTCGGGCTCGAAGCTGCCGGTGTTGTTCCACGTGCTGCTGCTCCCGTAGCTCTCGTCCCCCCCCGAGGGCTCCGCGTAGTCGGCCGGGTTGAAGGTCCTGGGAGGAAGAGGAGGGTGGGTGTTTTCACTCTCTCCCCCCACCAAGAATTTTAAGAGCAGTTGTGTTTATTTGGACACGGCACATCGCCAGGTCTCAGCGGAGGGACGCCCCAGCTGCAGCAGCCACTCCAAATCCCAGTTAGCATCACCCACCTTTGGGTTTATTAACAAAAAAGGGAAATGGAAGCACAAGGGACCAGCATGATCAGCACTGCTCATGCAAAACCACCTCTGTGTTTGCTGTGGTTTGTACCAGTGAGACTTACCCCATGCCTTGGGCAGAAAACCTTCCCCCTCGCCTTCCAGAGCCACCTGTAAAACACACACCCCTGTGAGCCCCTCTGGCTCCACACTGCTGCCAAGAGACATCTGGACAACACACAGAGCTCTGGTGCCCGCAGTATGGAAGTGCTGAGGATCTGCCCGAGCTGATGGGACCTCCAGCAGCATCTCCCTGCATGGGCACGACCTCAGTGGGACCACGAGCCGTGCGGGAGACCAGGCTCAGAGGAGGTCTCCAGCTGGCACTGTCCTAAGCACCAGCCCCTGGGCTCCCATCTCTGCACCATTCCTCAGCAACAATCCCCAGGCAGTGCAGATTTGGTGGAGAAATTAATTTCTGCTGCTGTGTGTTGAAGAGCTGAGCTGAGCATCTGCACAGTGACAGCGCTCGGAGACACGGGGCACGGACAAGGAGCCAGGTCCTGTGGCTAACAACCAGCCTGCCAAATAGACACCTTGTCTTTTTCACCTTCTGCACAATAACACTTCTAACTACTTAATATTTATTTACAACTTATTACTAGTAACATGATAACCGTTTTCTCCCAGCTCCACGGATGAGGTGTAAGAACTAGACACTGTTTCTAGCACAATTAAGACAGGGAAGCAACGTGCAAGCCCCGAGTGTAAGCCTAAGAACAGTAAAACCAAGTGCTTACTTCCAGTTTGGCAATTCCTCCCATGAAAGAGGCTGCCAGACCTGGTGGAGCAGACCAAGACACTGCCACATTCTCCTCCTCCCACCCCCTCTGACCTCAGACCCCACGTGTACCTCGGCCTCGGCCACGTCCTCGCCTCCCTCGTTCCGTGCCTCTTCCAGAAGATCCTCCACTCTTGCCCCCATCCAGCCCATTCTCCTGGCCCCGAACTGAGAGACAGAACAACACAGAGGCAATTTCAAGGTCTGCTCTGCCTTAGGGAGGACGCAGCAGCACCCCTCAAACAGGGCAGCAGTGCCTGGGAGGGCGACTGCGCCGTCAGGCACTCCCCAAGCATCACCCCAGGGACCCCCCCAG